TTTAACCCAGAAACACGATCGGCAAGGTAATTACCGATCTTTCTTCTAGCAAAGGAAAATAATTTGACTTCACGTCGATCCTGTTTTCGAAATCTCTCGCGAGGTGGATCATGCTTGGAGGATCATACGTAAACGAAAAGAAGATGGCTTCCGGTTTCAGTCCAAGAAAGCGTGCACGCTTAGCAACGATACAATCGTGAATCGCATTGGCCTCCTTCCCTCTCTCTCTCTCTCTCTCTCTATTCTTCTCTTTCAGAATTTCAAAGAGAGTTTCAATTTTCAAATCGATCACGAGAAGATATCGAAATTCATGGTGCATCGTGTGAAATCTCCACGTCTAAACGATCGAATAGAAATCGACAGCTGTCGATTCATTAGTTCTACAAAATTCGGACACACACGAGTCTCATTTAATTTCTGGGTTAGCCTCAGTATTCACGGAACGTACATAATGTGAAATAGTATAGCAATAATATAAAATATTCTTTTTACAATTTTTTTTTTTTTTACAGAGGTTCCTTTTATAGAATTGCAAAATTTATCAGACAAATTATTCTGTAAAATTATAGACTCATAGAATTATTCTATAGAATTGTAAAATTATAGATTCTACGAAATCATAAAATTCGCAGAGTTCCTCTTTTCATTATCTATAATGCTGACCACGTTTTAATTATATTTCTAAAAAAATACGAATCTGCATGAAAACTCGCGATTTCATCAAAAAAAAAAAAGAATTTTTATATAATTGAATTTCTCACGAGTAACGAACGTTTAATGAACAGCAAACATTTATGGAAATTCATATTTCTATAAATGTAATTATAATAAAGAAACATAAGTTATTCTCACACAAAAATATTATTTTATCCAACATTATAATCTATTTCACAGCCTGATGATTTAATATTCCAAAATTCTCGCTACTGCTACATGTGAGAAACGTGGTTTATAAAAAGAAAAAAAAATGCATCGTCATTTAGAAATTTACATGAACACATCTCGAGACTCGAGAATTCTAAAATTGATAAAAACAAGACTAGAGGAAAGCAGCTCTCTTCAAGCATGAAAATTATTCCTCGCGTTTTGTGTTAACATTTTCAAGGCACTGGTGTTGAATAACCGCTTAGTCACTGATTGTATTATCAAAAGTAGTCTTCGTCGAGCCGAATGGAATGTGGAATCTTAGATTTTAATTCGTCGATTACAATTGTAATTTGGCGAGTCTCGTCACTTACCTTCTTCTGACTCCAGACAACGTTGATCGAAGGCTTGCCACGGCGGAAATCCGGCTGATCGATTACGTCGTCGTGGATCAAGGAAGCGTTATGGAACATCTCGCACACCATCGCCACTTGCCGCTGCGAGGCCAAGAGACCACTGAAAACCAATATCGTGTATTTTGCGATTTATCGCGAATAGAAGAATTTATATATAAATTCAGAAAAATTCTAAACTTTCATAAGAGATCTTTTTATAATACTTTCGAGCACAATAATTTTATTGATAAGATGCTTCCAACTTTCATTTCGCACAGTTTTTTTTTTTTAAAACGTCTAAAGTATCGACAGTTTTTCAATTTAGCGAAATCAGCAAAAAAAAAAAAAAAAAAA